CGTAGGAAAGGTGTTCCAACCCTCTGACCACCTTGATAGCCCTCCTCTGGAATCACTCCAACAGCTCTATGTCTTTCTTGTGTTGGAGGCTCCAGAGCGGGCTGTAGCACTCCAGGTGGGGTCTCACCAGAACGGAGTAGAGGGGGAGAATCACCTCCCTCAACCTGCTGGCCACACTGCTTTTGATGCAGCGCAGGATGCAACTGGCTTTCTGGGCTGCGAGTGCACACTGCTGGCTCATGTCCAGCTTTTCATTCACCAGCACCCCCAAGTCCTTCTCCCCAGGGCTGCTCTCAATCCACTCACCACCCAGCCTGTATCTGTGCTTGGAATTTGCTCGACCCAGTTGCAGAACCTTACACTTGGCCTTGTTGAACTTCATGAGGTTTGCACAGCATCACCTCTCCAGCCTGTCAAGGTCCCTCTAGATGACCTCCCTTCCCTCCAGTGTGTCGACCTCACCATACAGCTTGGAGTTGTTGGCAAACTTGCTGAGGGTGCACTCAATCCCACTGTCCGTGTCGCTGTCAAAGATATTAAACAGCAGTGGTCCCAGTACCGATTGTTGAGGAACACCGCTTGTCACTGGTCTCCACTCAGACATCGAGCCATCGATCACAACTCTTTGAGTGCAACCTTCCAGCCAATTTCTTATCCACCAAGTGGTCTATCTGTCAAATCCACATTTTTCCAATTTGGAGACCAGGATATCATGCAGGACAGCATCAACAGGGGTAAACTGCCCTCTTTCTTGCAGTCGCATATGTTGCCTCAAAGTATAAAAAGATACTTTAGCCATTTAGAGCTGCATCATACCACGCAAGTTCTTCAAGCAGAGACAGACCCCTGTAGCATCTGACAGGTTACAAAGGATCAGTGCTTTAAACAAAGCCAAATATTTACTCAGTGCAGTTTTTTGAGGAAAAATGCACAAAACAGCATGAAACTTTATGTGCCAAGTTTGAAAGAAGTTGTAGTATCTCCATATGCAGGCATCTGTTTTCTTGAATGTTGAATATAGATAGATCAGACAAGTCTTCAACATAAGTTAGAGCAGCCCAGAATTAGTCTGCTATATTCATATAGCCTGTGACTTTCATGGCTGATATAGGGCCCGTATTTACTTGGCCTATATCAGCTATAAAGGGCCCAGGGATTTATTTTCATGTTGTTTTTCTTTGCTTTGTATTTTTTTATCCTATCCATAAGAAAAAGGGGCATTTATCAGTGTTTACACAACTAGAAAATCCACTATACAAGAGAAAGAAATACATGGCTTGCCACCACTGCTGTGCTCCTGTGTGTGTGGGCAGAGTGCTCAGACCTGGCATTCATCCACTCGTGAACTGTGCTCCTAGTAAAAATTTTTGAGGCTACAGAAGTTCTTCTTTTAATTCCCACTGCACAGTTCAGTTTCATTCACATATTTCAGTATGACCACTTTGAAAGAAATGGAGATTGAGAGAAGGGCTTTCAAGGAGACTCATGGGAGTACATGCTTACTCCTATTTTCTGCTTATGAAAGATGGGTATATACTTACCTTTGGACTTACTGAAAATTTAAACCTTAAAAACCATTTTGAAATAGATACATTTTATGCAGCAAAAACACATGACTACTACCACTATTTATGCATGACTACTGAATGTAGTCCTTCCTTTGGAGCCCCACATCAAAGTAGGTGGAAACCCTTTAATAAAAATAATCAAAGGTGAAATATCACTTAGACAAATAATCTAGATTAAAATATGTTAGACAGACAAATACTAGTGATGTATTTGACATCATTTATCACTAAATCTAAATTAACACTTACTCTGATTGGACAGCATGCCAGAATGCAATAGTATCACATTGGAAGTGACAAATGTAGTTTATTACTGCTTTCTTATAGATAAAATTTATAAGAATTCTGCTATGAAATCTGTTTAGGATATAATGTCAGTAGCAATATGATTAGTTTATAATTCAGTGAAATAAAGGATACATTCCATCTCAGGCAGCTAAGTAAACTCACAAAGCAGTAAGAGTTTTCTAATTGATTTGCTAAAAATCAATTCTGAATTTTAAGATGTAGGTGTTATTTTAAAGTACTTGAAACTAGAAAAAATAGGTCTTTGTGAACTTAACAATACGGGATTTTTAAGTATGTTTGTTCCTGAATTAGTAAGTTATTGGAAGTTATTAAAACTATTCAAGTGGGCCTCGCTAAGTATAAGTACTTAAATTGTTTCTACTACGTGAAAAAGCACACATAAAGAAACATTGACTAAAATGCAAACTGAAGTACTTAAAAGCTTTAAGTTTAAAATAAGAAAGGCTGGTGTGATAGTGTATGTGCATGTAGTTAACTGTTCTAGAAGAATGTTGATTATTTCAATTCTACTTTGTCCAAGAAAGGCCCATTCATGTTTCTGCCACCAGATAAGGAGATGGAGTACTTTGTCTTCCTCTTGGTTGAAATATGGTTTGTTAAATTATTCAGATTGGAATGAAGTCTATGTGCAGTTCACCTGTTCAAGGTAAATGTGCCTTTCTGGGAGGCCAGCTGGTCCAATCACTCCTGCAGCTTACAGGCTCAGTAGGATATTTCCATCATGACTTAGAGTAAGCCAGGGCACAACAGGAATTCTAATGTGTGAACGTGGAGTCGTCCAGTCTCCTTCCTATTCCAAGTGGTGCACAGGCCAAACACTACTGTGTTTATACACTTTACTTTGGACAAAAATGAACCCTGCAATTTCAAAATTATGACAAAATGGAAGTGTTGACTTTATGCTGCTTAGATAATTTTCTATCTAAAAATCTAACACTCAGATCGACCTCACTCATCTGCTGTTGAAATTGATGGAATTGAAGGAGAATTTTAGTTCTTTATTTCTGCTCTTCATTAACCAAGATCTTTTTAATGCAGCAGATGGCCAGATAGCCAATCTCTCTGGTTTTTAAAAAAGTTTCTCTGCCTGTCTGGCCATCAGATCATATTCTCTTATTGCCTGTCTCCATTGTCTTCATAACCTAAAATTTTTTTTAGGATGCTAAACCAGCAGTCACAAGTCAAAATTCTTAAAACCTGTATGTAACATGACATCAATAAGTCGGTATTGAAGATCAAGATAATCAGTGAGATTTTCAAAATTGCTGAGCAGTGAACAACTTTTTATTAAAGTCTGTGGTAACTCTAGGGTGGTCAGTGTCGTTTAAATGTTCAGTTACATACTCAAGTGGTTAACCTTAGGCAGGCACAGTGTTTTGAAAATCTTGATTATCATACTCTATAGAGCTCTGAAAGGAAAAACCAGCATTGCCAGTGTTTCAATTTTCACTTCATTTTATCTGCACTGACCATTTATCACCATGGTTTTTCAGTGGTGAAAGATTCTTAGCCAAGTAATGTTAATTGCACCAATAAATGCAGAGCAAAGTTTTCAGTACACGAAAAAGGGATATTCATTAAATGTATCTGGAAAAGCAGCCGTAGACTATGAGCAGAACTGTTTAGGGATTCAGGGGGAGGTTTGGGGTTTTTATTTAATTTTCAGTGTTTTAGAATTTGATAGAGGGGAGGTATTAAAAAACAACTAAGTCATTTAATTTTAATCAGATTACTGAAAAGAGACAAAAATCAATAATATTCAACTCCATCTTCCATTTGTTATTCCTGATGCAGCTAGGAATATCTCTGGCTTGAAGGACAAATTAGGGTAGCTCTTCACCTTTATGTGAACCAGAACCCAGTGGTTCATCCAACAGGCATGAGAAGAGCCACAGTGCAACGTGTTTTAGCTGTTCCCCTCTTCTCTCTTCCTTGGCACACTCCCTGTACTAAAGCCTAGAAAAGAGGTAGCATGGAGCTATTTTGCAAACTGTTCATCCAGACGATTCTCCAGACATCTTTTACAGACCTTTTATGTCACCAGGATGACCAAAAGGGGCCAGCTACATTTCCAGCTTAACCTTTTAAAGCCTGTTCCTGCACACTCCTGTTTTACATAAGTAGTCGTATAGATCTTACTGATTTATTGATATCAGTACTTTATATATACTCTTCTCAGTGGTTAATCTCATGGGACTGATTTCTTTTGCTTTGTGAGGACTAAAGCCTATAGACCCAACTCTGGAAGAAAAGAAGCAGTAAGACTAGGAAATGTAGACAAAGTAGACCTGCCCAACCAAGTGTTGTGGAGGAAGCTGACAGACTGAAGGAATCCTGCTGGGAGCTTAGTCTTTACTTCCTTTTAACTGCAATGTGAAACCATGCTTGTGACTAGTTAGGTTTTTACATGCATTTGGATTTCACAAGATGCAGTCATGTGACTTTGGAACCTGGTTAATTGTATACTGTCTAGTAATACGTCCTGCAGCTTTCTAGGGTGGTGGTTGCTCTGTGATGGAAGCTGTCCAGTAACACTTCTGATCAGAAAGATTTCAAAATGCCTGCCATATATTAGTGGTGGATAAACTCAGCTGATTGAGCATGTTGGGGTTAGTCTCCACACTGAACAGAATACGAAGTAAACAAAAGGTGCTTAAACAGAATTTATGGGGCCTCTCCAGTTTATCACCGTAGCCTGCAGTTTATCACACTGATATCACCATCAAGCCTGTTTCTTGTTTCTGTTGTGTGCATGCATTAGTTTAGCTATTGAAAGGTCTTATAATTAAGAGCTGCAGTTTTCCTGTAATCAAATTGAGAACAAAGAGCCAACATGTCATCATACCCGTGCATTGGCAAGGTAATGCCACATCTGTTACCCGTAAAGAAATGCAGGGTCTAGTTCATAAAAGTAGTGCATGTGATTTCTGAATTTAATTCTGTAGAGTTTATGGAGGTGGAAATGTGCTTGCTGAGAAACACTGTGATATACCCTTTCTGCTGTACATAAAATATGGGACTTCTGTTACATACTAAATACAAGCAGAGTAAAGGATTACTTTAGCCAAACTAAATGAAGGAATCAGCCAAAAGTGGGGAAAGAAACATTTTGCCTTAAATGTGCACACTTTATTTATGCATTATAAAAGCCTGTGTGTGTGTATGTATACCTACTTATTGAAATATTTTCGTTGTGCAAATGAAACCTGCCTTGAGGCAGACTTCATTTATTTGCTGGCAAGTCACATGAATTTTTCCCCTCTTTATTTACTGAACCATTCTTAAAAGGTAACTAATCTCCTGAGAGACTCTGCATTATTCTGCTTGCTGCCCTTTTGCATTAGGTATACATTCGAAGCACCAATCCTTACTCCAGTAATGTTAGTACAAGCCCTTCCATGTATGTAAAGTCCAGACACAATACGCTATGCCTGAGCAGCATCTTCACCTTTATCTTGGTGAAGGACTAAAGCCTATAGACCCAACTCTGGAAGAAAAGAAGCAGTAAGACTAGGAAATGTAGACAAAGTACCTCACCACTTGGTTATCTTTAGTGGATCCTTGCAAATATTTTTTTTTTTTAGTATTCAGTATTTTTACCAGTGTTCTGGAAGAAGTATAAAATCAACCCGTGGAAAGTTTAGTGATCTTTGGAGCATAATAAGCATGAGGGTGAAAATATCTGAATAACTTAGCAAAACACACAATTTTTGATTGCACCCATTATGGTACATATGGTGTAGAAGCGGGTTAAAACAGAAAAAGGACAGAGACTGTACATGGAGAAGCTGTAGCTTTGAAAATGCTGCATATCTGGTTAAAGGTGAGCTCCCTGTGTGACTCCTTTCCTAAAAAGAAAAGTGCCTTTAAGGACCCAGCTGAATCACTCTAAAGAACACCGAGACGTAACTTGATCCCCACATGTCTATACAGAAAGAAAATATGTGATTTGGGTCTTTTTAATGTAATGAGGACTAAAGAACTACGTGACTGTGAGGTAGAGGTAGGAAAAGGCAAACTGAAAATAAGGTGCATACAGTTTTACAGCCAAGGTAATTAACCAGTATTTTGGCAGCAGGTGTGGTAGACTGTGCATCAGTTAATTTTTTAAAATCAGGACTGAATGTCTCCTTAAAAAAAAGTAATGCTTTGCTTTAGCTTTAGCTGTGAAAATATGGAAACTACTGTGTGAAACAACTGTCAGGTTATGTAGTATCTTGCCTATAGTTTCTTCTCAAAAACTGAGTATAGGGCAGAGAAGGTTTTGTATGAAGTGTAGAAAGTTCTGTCCCAGAAAGATTAAATTGGGTTGGCAAGAGACAGAGAGAAAACAGAGATTCTCATCTTTAACCTCAGTATTTAAAAGAATTTAAAAGAATTGGGCTATCATCTGTCAGGTAGTGTTTTAGCTTATTGTTGATTACCACTTGAAGGATGAATGTATAAGCAGAGAGATAATGTCTTGGTCATGTCAGTGGAAGATACCAGATGACATTGGGAAAAATAGAGAAAATTACTTGTAAAGGTCAAAGTAATTTGCATAGGTTAAACAAGTCCAAGTGAACAATATGAAAGCTCAAAATTATTGTGTCTCATTTAAATGAAAGAAGAGGAAGATTGCTGGAATTTAATTTTTCACGAAGTATACTAAGTGATTTTCTTGAGAAAAGACATACCTGGATTACATTTCTTTTTAAATAATAGTTGTAAGGGAAGAGTATTTTAGCCATGGAACAGCTTCCAAAACAGGATCTTTCAAATTCAGAAAATAAATAGTCCCCGCTCCTCTGTTTCCTTTCTCTTCTGATGTGAATTTGACATTTACAACTACCTACTCCAACATAGATAAATATGATCAAGAGAATAGGATAAGACCAAACTTATGTTCCATCTTTTCAAGCAGGGGTATGTTTTTTATGCATCATTGCTTTAGGCATTATTTCAGGACTTTTGCTGTTTCACAGAATTAATTCACCAGGTAGTATAGACAGAAAGGTGGGGACTGGAAGTTCACACTTTGTATCCTGACATCCTGAACATGATGACTTGATATAAATTTGTACTTTTATTCTTCCACAAAAAAGCTTCCCAAAAAGTCAGATAATGCTTCAGGCAGGCAAACAATTTTTTTCTTTCTTCACTCAAGTACTAAGAGGATGAAATATTAGTGATGAACGCAGACAACGCAGTCATGTATCTACCAAATAACTAGGGCAAATAAATAAGAAATTATACTGATTTGGGAGGAGACACGTTCTACCATGGAGATTTTAAAAGTTGTTTCCTGTTCATTGCCATGTGTCCTGTAAGCCAATGAAAAGTACTCTTGAGTAATAAACAAATTAACCCCTTTCATAAGTCAGAATTCTGAATACAGATAGTTAGCTAAAAGGTCTCTAATAATAATTACTGGATAATTAATGTTCAGAGGGAAAGTGAAATCCAGAGCAAAATCTCCTTGTTGAGTACCATATACATTTTCCAAAAAACTGTATGACCAAAGGTTTTGTTGTTTATTATTTATATTGAGTTTAGCCCATGGTGCAAACTGTAGCACAATGAAATGCCGTATAAAAATCTGATCGAAGAAAGTATGCTTTCTCGGTTTATAGTGAAGCAGTAATTGCATTGTCTATATTAAACTGAAGACACATTTGAAAGGCCACATCTTCCATACCTACTCACAAAGTCATGTTTACGACTAATATGTTTTTGTAAGACACAGGAAATAGAAATGGTTTCTAAAACTAGATTTTAAATACTTTACGTCTAGGCAAGTTGAAAGAATGGTCCTTAGTACTGTATGGAACATCCATCCAGCCTTACTCACCAAGAAATGATCTTCCGAAAGTGGAAAGAGTTCGCTCTAGCCCAGTTGAAGACCCTACAGAAGATTATGGAACAGATGACTATTCAGGTGTGTACATTCATTTACTGTGATTGTGCATTTACTGAACATGTTAATAGGTTAAAGAAGCAACCTGAGACTCTATATATGTAAAATGTTCAGTGATGGATTTTAATTTAAAATCAGAACTATTTTTTTGTAATTTAAAGTTAGATATTTTAATTTCAACCTTACAAGTTTGTAAGCATAGTTATATATTTTTAAGCTACATTTTACATACTATGAAGAATGCACTGCTTTGCGTATAAGAGTATAAAAATATATATACATACGTATGCTCACATATATATATGAAGAACATTATCTTCTACATCGGTGTTGTTTCTTACTGATCCTATAGAAGTTTTTCAACTTTATCATTAGACTTCAATAGAGTTAGATTTTTGACACTGCAAAATTAGTCAAGTTGTCAGTTTTCTACATGTAATCCAATGTTAGGAGCATCGTGTAGATGGTTAGGGCTGATGAATCTTAAGTTTAGCCCTGGCAAGCAAACAGCAGTACAGCGTTCAATTTACAAGTTTCTGTTATTACAGTCTCCTGCCACAGCATGTCAGACCCACAGTCCCTCTTTTAGATCGAGAGCTGTGGAACTCCCTCTTTTGGTAGGTGATGAAACACTACTACCTCTGCTGTAAAGGTCATTATCTTCTTAAGGTTTTGTGTGAAGCAAAGTCACTTTACTTCAAGTTCACCTGATGTTAGGAGAAATTTCAAGGTGGATCGCAAACTCAATGCATTTCGATTCACAAGAGACCAGTGATCTTGAAAGCTGTAATTTCACCCAAGGCCTTGTTCACCTACATAAAGGCAGGAGTTGATGATTCTCTCCTGTAGCAGGAAGGACCTATTTGAAAACTGTAAACATAGGATCATAGAATAACTCAAGTTGGAAGGGACCCATAAGGATCATGAAGTCTGATGGGAGTGCAAGTGAGATGGAAGACTTGCTAATCAGCAAGTATTAGCCAAGGCTTTTGCAGCATGTAGCAGCCCAGAGGGAAGCACACGTGGGCCCTGGTGGCTGGTTCAGTTGGGTTGTGGTAGCTGCCTGGACCAGTTGTTAGCCGGTTGGTAACCAGAGCAGCCGCTGATCCTGTTGTTCATAATTTGTGTTGACCTCCTTGTTATAAGTGATTTTGGCAGTAATTCCTTATTATGAATTACAGAAACCTTGGCACACGTCTGAATAAAATTCAGAATAATTTGTTTCTCGTTAGGAAAGCATCCATTTGGATCCAGAGATAGTTTCTCTTTGATAGATTCTGTAAAGGATGCCACACTTGCTAAAAATTAGAAATCACTGTCAATAAATACTCAGGCCAGGATTTGCAAGGTCTTCAGGTACTAAAAAACTTCTCTTTCTGGTGGAGCCAAATTACTATTTGGAATCCAAAACAATCAGGGAAACAGAGTAATTGCATTCTTCATTGAAATACTATGTTTTAAGGGGCGCTGACTACTAAATGAGAAGTTTTAATCCCTTTCCCTCCTTATTCTGGTTTTATTACAGGTCCCTGCAATGCAGAATGCAGTAAAGTAGGGTGTGATGGGCCAGGACCAGATCATTGTACTGACTGTCTGCACTACTACTACAAATCTAAGAACAACACACGGTAAGGCCAAGAAAAAAAAATCTTTACTTCATAGATTTCTTAGTATATATCTTAACTTCCTTTCCTCTTCTTTTTGCTGCAGTCATGGATAATTCATTTCCCATTGAATTTGACAAATTTTCTTGGAAAAAAACCCAACATAGCTAATCAGAATTTGAAGTACAGCCTTCAAACATCCTTCTCTGATTATTTCCCCATCTCTTGATTATTTTTTTGTAAGAGGCTATATACGTATATTTAACTGTGATAGCTACTACAGCTTCTGTGATCGAGTTTGAACAAGATAGGAAGAAATGTAAATGGTCAAAAATTATACTGTATGACTGTCTGACAAGGCATTTGCCAGTGAGATAGCATATGCTGT